GTACCGGTATTAGATAAGATGCACATTTGTAAAAACTTTTGTTACGTTTCATCATAGCACTAACAGGTGTGTTCTATCCTTAGTTCGAGGCAGTGATAAAGCCAGGAAACGAGCATTTAGTTCACCACATGGAGGTGTTCCACTGTGAAGTTCCGCCCAACAAAATAGTCCCCAGCTACAACGCGCTGTGTCACGCGGAGACAAAACCAGAACAACTGAAAAGCTGCACCCGAGTGATTGGAGCTTGGGCCAAAGGCGCACAAGTGAGTGATTAAGATAATCATATCATATCATATCATATCATATCATATCATGTCACATCATATTCTTACAGCAAATATAATGGAAAGAGAGCGCTGTTCAAAGCAGCTGGGAAAAGTTTCAGTCTATTTTTAAAAGAAATTTTAAGTTATCAAGCGCAATTTCTTGCCTCTGATAATGTTCCATAAATAGGCTTTTTAACATCCATGCAGCCTTCAAGACAAGTTTCATAAACAAAGCTCTCAGATTAGCACCTGTCGACAGTTTAGTTCTTGAGGTTCTTTGAACCTGTTTGCTACAGGCTCTTGTTTTGCAATCACAAAACCCACATTATGTTTCTTTTTAATACTAATCAGAACCTACATCAAAATTTCAGCCTTTTGTTTACCCGTTGGAGGCTGGCTATTCCGTTGGCGGCCCTTCCTATTCCAATTTTGTGTTGTTAGAGGTTCATTATAACAACCCTGACCGTCTAAAAGGTGGGTTTTCTGTGAATATCTTTATTGTTTGGTATCCAAATCTTCTGTCTGGGTGAGAAAAAGAATATTCGGCTGCACAAGTTTCATATATTGGCCAGATTTGTAACGGCTTTCATTTTAATATTTATTTTTTTATTATTTTCTCAACAAACTAGTAAAAAATAGATATTTTCATTATTTTTTCTTCAACAAACAAGTAAAATATAGCTATATGCAAGTCGAAAACACGCATATTCGATTAAAAAATAAAATGACATAATTGTGCCTTTATATGTCATTTAAGACCAGTCTGACTTATTATATGAAAACAGAATGTAGACGAAATTTCCGCGATCGGAGTAGTTAATTAAACATTTTGGTCAATGGTCGAGTTGGGCCAGTTCACAGTTTAACATGGGCATAATTTGAACTGACCTTTTAATATGAGGCTTGTCCTTTAAAGGGAAGGTGGATAGCTCTGGGATCCGTTTCCACTACACACCCAAGCTACGCTCCTACGACGCCGGGGTGATGGAGCTCGGGCTGATATACTCAAACGCGATGGCGGTTCCACCTGGCCGTGAGATCTTCAAACTTTCCGGGCATTGTGTGTCTCATTGCACAGAAAAGGTACTTCTGGGAGGGTAAAATTGAATAGCTTGGTTTCATATTGACGTGATGTTTGATAATCCCGTAGAAATAAAAACGACAAAGATTGAAAATATATTTAAAAAATATAATACTGTTTGTATTTAATAAAGGGAATGGGTGCCCAGTTAACGTATATCAAAGCATGTTTCTTATATCTAGATTCTGAATGTTAGTTTTTTTCCTTATTTAAAGGGTCTTCCAAAACCTGGAATTAAGATATTTGCGTCTCAACTACACACCCATCTTACTGGACGCCGAGTTTATACGAAGCACGTTCGGGAGGGTACGGAACTGCCCGAACTTAACCGAGATAATCACTACAGTCCACATTTTCAGGAAATCCGGCTTCTACCGGAACCAAGACTCGTTTATCCGGTAAATATATGTATTTTGGAGCTGTCATTGGTGCGCTAGAAATAACGAGAAATTATGAATAGTTGTCAACTCTGAGGCATTTGTGATGAAACGAATTCCTCTCAACCTGAAAGACAATTAATTAGCGTTACTTTTTTCCTGAAAGTTCAACACTTTTCTCTTAATATCCAATGTACATGTAGGCCTACACCAACTAGGGGCCCTGTCAAAATTACAAATCGTAAGGTTCGAGTCCAAAAAACTTATTTGTGAGTAACTTTCGTAATGGAGATATAGACTGGTGAATATATCTTGACAGCTTAAATAAGATTTTTAGAACTCAAAAATTAGAATAAACATCGCAATTTTCTCAACAGCTTTGGGTAAAATATATCTTGGTGATTTAAGGGAATTGTTAAAATTTCTTGAATTTTTTTTTTCGATGTAAACGTCTTACGAGGACTGCGTACCTCTAATTACTTAATTCATAGTGCGATGGGAATGTTACCATGCTGCTTTTATCTAGTGATATTTGACACTGTTTAAAAAACAATATATTTTAGGATCTTTTAGGACTGTGTCGTATTCGTTTACTGTATAGGCCTAAATGCAGTGAGATGTTGAATTTTTCCTAGGGAGATGGGCTGATAACAATATGCGAGGATAATACGATGAAGAGAGAAAATGTCACCATGGTGAGTTAAAATATTTATAAACTGTATTGTTTGAAATTCATGCCAGTTTATCATGGTAACAAACAGTTATAGAGTTCCAAACAAAGTAGCCTTTAGTCTCAATGAAATTCCAATTTATAAATCTTTAGACTAATGAACCTTCCGACTGTAAGGACGCATCAAAAGCATAAATTAATAATAATAATAATTATAATAATAATATTGTTACAAAGATGTCACTTTAAGATCGTCTTTGTAGGTACATATATATGTATGCATCTGTACATTTTTTTCTTTTGGTTTCCTCAGAGTGGTTTCAGTATTGCTGACGAGATGTGTGTGAACTACGTTCATTACTACCCTAAAGTGGACCTGGAGGTGTGCAAGAGCTCCATAGACCCCGGGGTGCTGTCAAGATACTTCACCTATATGAAAAAGTATACCTATTTTATCTTGAAAACTAAAGTTTATGTTTTGTAAAAGATTCTTTTCTTCCACCAATAAAGTTGATAAAGAAATTACTTGTAGTTCTCGGTTGCGTAAAATAAACTAAAACTGTTGGTAGGAGACTCCAAATAATCGCTTAGAAAATGGTTGACGTTGTATATCAATTGAAAAGTTGAAAATTGTATTCACTTGAGCATTTGACCAACGTTCTAGATTCTTCCAAGCGGACACGTCGCCGCAGAAGTCCCTAAGGGAAAATTATTCCTCCATACCTTGGACAAATGAGACGTCGACGCAGCTCCAGTCTCTCTACGATAACTTTCCGCTGGAAGTGGAGTGTAGACGATCATCGGGGGAATTGTTTCCGGTAGGTACTGTAAGGCATCCATAGAATTTTGATGTGCTTCGATTTCGTCTCTCTCTCTCTCTCTCTCTCTCTCTCTCTCTTACACACACACACACACACACTTTTTTTTATATTAACCGCTTAAGTGATTTAAAGGCACCAACTTTTCCACCTTCCAGGGAACGTGGACAGAAGTTTCACAAGATCGAATCACCAAACCGTTTCACGCAGACGATGACCCGTGCAGCGAGGTGTCGCTGATGCAAGATGCGGTCATGACCATTGAAAAGTCGGAACTTGATGAAAGGACTATTTCTTAACCATAGAGCATCGTTATCCTCCTTCTTTGGGCAGTGGGCGACGTGTATTTGAATTTGATCTTGAAATTTGACATTCTTCATATTTTAACAGTTACGGTTGCAATTTTAAAGGTGGTGGACAATAAATGTAGCTTAAAGGTGTTTTTCAGCATCCATTATACCGCATGCAAAAAAAAAAAAAAAAAAAAAAAAAAAAAAAAAAAAAAAAAAAAAAAAAAAAAAAAATATAAAAAAAAAAAAAAAAAAAAACAAAAATACCAGTACCAATGAAGAATCAACTACGCACTTTTTTAACAGCCTAGGCATGGTGACAGTTGCTTTGATGATATTGCTTTAATTAGCAGAAAATAAGTTCACCATAACTTCTGACCAGAAAATAATTTTAAGTGATCTTTCCACAGTGGCTTAAATTGTTCTTTTCAGAATAAGGATCAATGGCTTTTAACAATTGATTAGTGGATGAATGGATTGATGTCTGTCATGTGTTTTTTTTCTTCTTTTTTTTAAACAAGAAAACAAGGTTAGAACCTGACCTGCCTACATGTATGATACTTTGTGTCTGTTTGAACTTTATTGTATTGGATTAAACAATGAAGTTGAAGGTGAATATGTGAAAGGCACATATGGTGGTTACTTTTTAGATGAATTCATGTTCATTCCCATATAATGAAAAAGGACACATCTCTGTATAAAATTTTTATACAGTGTGCAAACATGCAATGAAAATAAACACTAAAATTTTTTTGTTTATATGAAATTTATTATCTGCATTTCTTTAATTGTTAAATTTGTAATCCATTCTAGGTCTGTTTCCTTCTGAATGTTAAGCCACAGTTTCAAAACTCATCTGTGAAAGGAATATCTTTTTGATGAGGATACTCCACATGCACATTGAGAATTTCTTTTATGAAAGGGAAGATAGCAAACAGGTATATTCTAACAAAAAAATACATTAAAATATGAACATTTAAAAAATTAAACTTTGTCAAAATATGTAGAATTTTTTTCAATGGTGAAATTAATATGACTGGTTTAAGCATAACCAGCAGCAATCTGACATTTAATTAAACCCCTCAACAATGCAGATAGACTTATCCAACACTTTTTTATTTCAGGTTGCCAGGACTGGCACAGCTGAAGGTGAAACCAATCTCAGGCAGACGTGCAAAATTTGCATACATGGACAGTGTTTATAAACCACCGGTTTTTTACATTGAGACTTGAAGTATAGATCTGAAAACAACACCAACAACAAACAAAACAATAAAAGCTCATGTCTTAACTGTTTACTAGGACAATAAACTTCCAGCACGTTTTCACAACATTGGTCAATAACGTCTTTTTTTTT